CTCTCTCTCTCTCTCTCTCTCTCTCTCTCTCTCTCTCTCTCTCATCCTGAGGTCAGGAGAATACGCCAAAAGTTTTGGTTAATTGTTTAGTTTTTTTGGAAATAGCTATTTCTCTCTCTCTAGCTATATTTCTCTCTCCTATTTGAGCTGAATGAGCCAAACAAAATAGCGCATTCAGAATGCTCTATTTCTTTTGGCGCATTCTGAATGCACTATTTTATCTGGCAAATTTGCTCCTTTTTAAATTTTATATTAAACATGCTCCTTTTGCTAATTATGAGGATTAAGCTGCTCCTATATAAAATTTGTCCTTAAGTATATCAATCACAAGCATTACTTGCTCAAAAAAGTGTCTATTTTCATAAAACAAACTATAAATTTATTGGTACACATTCATACAAACCTGGATGTTATACCATCTTTAACTAGCTACATCCACACCTAATTGCATTAACAAATCACCCTTTTTATATCATTGCTTGATCTCGTAAATTGTAGTTTTCCTTTTCCATTTCTGCATCAAGGAAAAACTTTGATTGTAGACATAAATTACACAGCAACATGAATTTATTCACCCTCTAGATTACTTGGAGGTGCAAACACAAAATAAGTCACCTAGGCCACCGACACAAACTAATCATAAGTCAAACTTCATGTTAAATAGTACATACACACAATCAAACAATCTAGAAATAGCATGGGATGTTTGAAAAGATGACAACTTCCAGCACAGAGGTTTTCAAGACTTTGCTTTCTTCATAGGGTTTATTTGGTTGCAAGCATTTAGAATTCAAAAATATCTTAAATATAGTATAAAACAAATACAATGTTTTTTAAATCCTTAGAAGTATTTAGTTGGTTATTAAAAATATTCATGAAACTACATTTTGATGTTCGATTGGAAGTAAAAGCAAATACAATGCTTTTTTAAATTAATGTATTCTTTTACATTCTTTGATATTATAAGATTTAGAGCATGGTAGGCTGTGAGGTCGAACGATTGACAGCACCGGGAAGGAATGCTAGTGACAATCAACGACATCAAAGGGGATGGCCGAGACAAGGCCTCAGTGCAGGCAAGGTTGTTTAAATGGGGCTACGGGGTGTCGTGCGACAAGGGTTGTGATGCCAAAGGGGCTATGGTCAAACATGATTTTGAAGGAGTCACGGGTTGGATATGCTAGAGATTGTAGTTGCAATGGCTTTGATGAGGTCGTGTGATGTTCAGGAGGTTATGGTTTCCAAGAGGGCTACAATACTTTGAGTTCAAGCCTAATGTTGTGAGGCGGAGAGCACGGTGTATTTGGAACGCAATCAAATTAGTTAAGTTTCAAATTCATCAAAAATAACTTGCTTGAGATATTTAAAACTCATTAGTAAAATACTTTGAATTTGTTTTTCTATGAACAAAACATCTAAAATTTTAAACCTAATACACACAAAATATTTGTAAGCAAACAGCAACATAGCAAGGGTCGCAAATTTACGGGTGGAAAAAAGGAAATAAATCTGTCTTCTAAGTGAATATGAGAGCAATTTCATCATGTCCAAAAATAAAGCAGATCTGAAAGAATAGTCATTAATAGACAAATTATCTTCTTAAGGATTATACTAAGTCAAAAAAACCCAAAACAAAAGACAAATGCGATCAAAATACTACTTACAAGCCATTCTCTGTGTCCTTGAAGACCCTGCTTGTTAAGAACCTTCACAGCAACTGGCAGAGATTTGAGGCCAACCCTCACATTCTCATCAATATATCCCTTGTAAACGGTTCCAAATCCACCTTCACCAAGAACATAATCCGAACGGAAGCTCTTTGTTATGGTCTCAAGCTCGAACAATGTGAATGCAATCACATCAGTGTATATTGCAATATTACTGGAGTCAGCAAAATTCCTTGGTGTAGAAGGATCACTCATGTCTGAGAAAGAGCGATTATCTTTCTTCTCAGATGAAGAGTTCTTTCCAGCAAGTTGCGAAAATTGAAGCTGTTGCACTGCCAACGGGAATATTTTTAAACAAAGAAACGAGCTTTTGTTGATCATGCCCTTTCATACATGATAAACAAAATTAATCTTAGAAGCCATAAAAAAACCTAATCAACTTCGCCCTAATTTCTACCTTTAAGTATGTAAATCCTGCGTTCCATCCCTAATTAAGCTCGGCTAATGTCAAGACAAGGATTTTGGAAAGTATATTCATAGAAATGACATCTTCGAAACGGTCAAAATACCTAATCAACTCCGTCTGACTTATCTATATATTTAAATAAGTAGCCACTGCTTTAAAGCCCCTATCAAGCTCAGCAATTAACCAAAAGGAAGATATGTACTCAAGTTTGAGATTCAGCAATTAAGCCTGCTGACTTAACGTTGACTAAAGAAATCAGTGAAAGAAATGAAATACTAAGCACAAATCCTTCAATCCAGAATCTATATGAAAAAAAAAGGAAAATGGCAGAGGGCGATATTAAGGAAGTTAATTTCTGAGAGCTGGCGCAGTAATCAATTGATTCCATAAAAATGGAACAATAATTACTCTACCAAGAGAGTTCTTTATAAAGGAGAAAATGAAAGAAAGGACAAGTATAGGATTTAAAAGCCCTAGCACCTTGAAAAATCATAAATGTCGTCAGATATACAACTTAAGAGCTTCGTCGTACCACGATCAAATCTTTGAGAAACCTAAATCACAAAATGCGACTCTCCAACGAGGACTCAAATTGATGCGCGTAAAAAGAGCAAAAAAGGCCAAAACAAAACCAACAAAAAAGAAGAGAATGAGGAATAACAAAAAGAAACAAAAAAAGCCAAAAACCAACCTTGAACATGGGCTGTAACCACTGCAGATTCCTCCCTTGTTCCGCAATTTCCCATCCTGCGCGCCCTCTATCATCATCCACTGCACCAAAACTCTCTAATTTTTTTACTTATATTCCTCGATAAGCTCCAGAATGAGCTCAATCATCAAAATGGAATGGTGGAACACTTGCGAGAGAGAGAGAGAGAGAGAGAGAGAGAGAGTCAGGATGGCGAGTGGGAGAAGGAACAAGCCACAAGATTTCTCATTTTTTTCCGTTTCTTTGCTATGCCACCGCCGGAAGCACCGCCGCTGCGATCACTCAAAAGGATTCCCTTTTGATCCGCTTTAATTAGACGGAAGGAATTCCCGTGCAATCGAGAGATTTAGAGAGAAGGAGAGAGAAACAGATGAGTGCGCGATGTTGTGAGCGAAGCCCAATAAAGAGAGAAGAAAACAGAAAAAAATTTGGCGAAGATATTCTCACTATTTTTTTAATAAGAATGATATAAAAAAAATTGAATTTATTTTAATATAATATAATTCAAATTTTAATTGATTCTTTTATATATTATATTTGTTTTAAATAAATTTAATAGGATAATTTACATATATACCACTTTATAACATCCTATTTACATATCTAACATCTAAAACTTTAATATTACATGCATACCACCTTATATTATTTTAATATCAAATATACCACTTATATTTCTTTCATACCACTCATATATTTTATTTCTACCACTCATATTTGGTATGAAAATGAACTATGGGTGGTATGCATGTAATATTAAAGTTTTAGGTGTTAAATATGTAAATAGAATAGTATTAAGTGGTATGTATGTAACGTAAAATTTTTATTGCGGGTATATTATTTGGTTTGCTTACATTTGAAAAAATTTTCTATGACTGTGAGTCTTAATTATCATCACTTATGATATTTCTTATATGAAAGTTATTTGAGTTGATAAAAATTTGATGTAAACTTATCAAAATAAATCATATTATTTTACTTTTAAAAAGGTTATTTCTTTGCTTGATGTTAATTAAAAACATATTTTAAAATTTATTATATCCATCACTTAGTTGAAAAATATTAAGAAATCAAAATATTGATTTTAAGCACTATAAATATCCTTAAATCCCTTAATTAACAATATTGTTTACATGAGATTGTATATTTTTATTTAAACAATGGAACTCGCAACTTTATTTGCATGCTTTGGCTATGTCAATTATTTATGGAAGAAATCAATCCACGTAGGAGCTCTTGTCTGATGATTGAGATTTGAGAGAATCAAATTGGCACAAAATCTATTTTATTTAAATTAAAATAGTATGGAATCATTTTGCTTAAAAATATTGTAAGTAGTTATTTGTAGCTATCCTATTTGAGGCTTTATAGAGAAAGAAGTAGTTGTTAGTGATTAGATGAGCAAATCTCTAAATCATTGAGACATTAATAAAAATTAGCTCCATTAATTGTGAAATATATATATATATATATATATCTCAAGTGATCAAAGGGATATCTCTGGATTATGACAAAATATGACTTTAATTTCATCTCTAGAAATTGATAAGTAAGCTTTGCTTGTACATATTTAGTGAGAAATTCATGTGAGTGAATTTAGAGACTTCTACATAATAGTTTAAGAATTATATATTTGATCACCACCAAAGCCTATTGTGGATGTCCACCATTTACTCCTATCACCATCACCACCTATTATTAATGCATGTCTCGTTGTTTTTCACTTTCCAGATTTCTCTCATAAAAAAATTTATATGCCACTTATGAATTATAGTATACTGAATGTGATTGTTTTATTTTAATGTAATGTTGTGACAATAAACTCACCCTCTACCATCTATTGAAAAAAAATTACCATCAAAGGTTCTCTTAACACTTTTTAAATGGCCAAAAGTTGTAACACCCATAATAATGGAGCCCCCCAATCCAACTCTCGTTGCTCTAGAAATCAATCATTCATCTATGGATGTTAGGCTTCTAGTAGTGCGTAGAGGTGGTTCAAGCCTTTCTCTAAAGGATTGTGTGCATAATATGAAGGATTCTTATGTACTTCAATTACTTAATAAAGCATAATATGTAGCACCATCACTATGATATAATATTTTTCCTCAGGGTCAACTATACATTGGTGATAGTCAGTTCAGGGTCTCCCGTGCAATGCCTTCTCATTCTCTAAAATCCCTCTTTCATTGTAGCCAAATATTATCATGGGCACCATTAGTTCCACCCATCTATCTTGTGTAACCAAATTAATTCATAATCCTCTGATGGGCATTGCGAATATGATTCAACTTTGCATAATGAAGACTCCTCTTAATATCTTTTGAGATGAGTTGTGATTATTAATTGGGAGGGATTTTTACTAAGAGATATATAGAAACCAATTTTTTCCAACCAATTTAAATTTTAATAATAATAATTATCTCCTAGTTTTTATTGAATAGGTTTATATCAATAAGAAATATGCTCAACCTATCATACCATGTCCTAAGAGCTTATTTGAAATCATGTAATTTTTGGGTAATTTATCTTCATTAAGCAAAAATCTTACTGATTTTTCTAAGATTTAACTCTATCTCTCTATAACACCTATATGTTAGGGAGTTCTAGGTGCATAGAAGTTATTTTCAATTTCTTATTAATCATACTAATCCTAAAATTTTTAAATTAATTCAGTTGCATGAATTATTTGTATCCTAGAAATTCAATACTAGTGTTGTATTTTATTTTATTTAACCAAGTTTCTAAGAAATTCAAATGGATCATTTTTTTCTAAACATAACAACCAATCATATTTTAAATAATTGTCAAAAATTACAACTATATAGCTTTTACCTTATGAACTATTAGCAATTAATGGAGCAAATAAGTCCACATGCATTATTTCTAAGGGACTAAAGGTATGTAGTCACTATATTCTTATTCTTAAGGACTTTTTTTTTATTATTTTTCATATAAATATATACAACATAAATATGATCAAATCATAATTTGATGCAATACCAACATATGTTCATAAAAAAAATGTCCATATTTCAAATTAAGGCAATGTATTAAGCTAAAGGTTCATCATCAAGCATGATCCTATGCTTGGTTTTTGGCGAGTTTGATACTTTCTCTTTTTTGATTTAATTCCATCATTTACTTCTTCTCTATGAGCTCTCAATCAAACCCTAAAACTAAACCTATTACCTTTAACAAACTTAACACATTTCACAACCATTACACAATCTCTTCTCAAGATATGGTCCCTCTCCACTCCAATAACCCTAAACAAACTTTTTCATGTTTACCTATATGTATGGGCACATTTGTCCTAGTTGCGCCCATCTGTCTGTTGCACTCAAGCTCGCTCTTCCTCTTGTTGATCAGGGAAGTTCTCGTCAAGGTGCCTGATCTACTGTCTCAACTAGACGAGGAAAGTTATCTTTATCATTGCTCTTATTTTTCTTCTAATTTTCCCTTTTTTCCACTTATTTTGAATGTGATTCGGTTTTCAGAATTAATTTCACCGTCATCGTTTCTCCTATTGTAGCTCTATTATCCTCATGCTCCCTCTTCGCTCAGCTCGCCCTAGCTGTTGTTTCTTGGGTTTTTCTGTAGGTTTTTTTGTGGTTTTGTTTTGGTTCTCTTCCATCTTAGTGTCATGTGTTTCCTTTCTTCTTTTGTTCATTTTTTCATTTTATTTTTTTGTGTTTTTTTTATGTTGTTTGTCTTTAAGTGTAGCTATTCTGGCTTTCTTGCTTGTAAGAACCGATCTAATCAAAGATGTTTTATTTGGATCAGATGCTTCAGTAGAGTTTATGAATCTGAAAGTTACTATGCTTTAGGGTTTGCCGACGTTGTAGATCTCTGAGGAAAAGTTCTTCATCTTGCCAAGCCTTTTGATTATGCTTTAGTTGATAAATTTCCTCTTCGAAGGTAGGTGTTAGAATGAATTAGAAAAAATTTCAACCTCAAACTGTAGGGTAAGCTTCTTGTCACTATTTTGGAGCAAAGCAATGTTCTGATTAAGCTTTCTAATGATCTTGACTATGATAGAGTTTTTTGTGTATAAATTAATCTTTCTTCATTTATGGTTGTTTTATGAAGTTGATAAAATTGACTCTTTTTCTTGATTTATCGGAAGAGTTTATGATCATCCCCATTTGGATCTCATTTCCAGAACTTCGCCCGCATCTCTTTTCTCCTTGCATTCTTTTTGGTTTGGGATCTATGTTTGGCTGACCACTTCATACAAATAATGTCACTATTGTGGGATCTAGATCATTCGTTGCACGAATTTTGGTGGAGATGGACATTTCTAGGTCCAATAATGATTCTGTTTGGCTTGGTCCTGAAAATTTTGGCTATATTCAAAAGGTGATTTTATAAGGTTTGCCTAATTTTTGTTCTCACTATAAAGTTGTGTGTCATATAAATTTTGAATGTGTTAAATTCCATCCTCATTTGAGGAAGTCTGGCATTTCTGTTTAGCCGGTTGTTAGTTGTGTTTCTAATCCTTTTACGGAGTCTAGGGTTTTGGCTTTAAATAAACTAGAAACAAATATTGCCCCTGCTGTGGAGGCTGTGATTTTGCCTTTAAGGGGCTGTTTGGTAGAATTTAGTATTTCATTTAAGTAGGATTTCATAAATCCTCCAAATCCCGGATTTACGAAATCCTGAGGGGTAAAATCCTGAAAACTGTTTGGTAACATTCATGATAAATCCAGTTAAATCCTTTGTGAGTGTTTGTCTGTTCATTTTAGAATTTAAGGCGGTTAAAAAGTTGACATACTTTATTAGGATAATTAAAGCACGACAAGAAAATTTTAAAAAAAATATAAAAAAACTTTATT